TAATCTGATTCCACAGCGACGAGTTAAATTAATCAAAAAAGGTTTACACGTAGTACACTAGTACCACCATACACCACACAGTCAAGCAAATCATATATATGTGTATAGTTATTAGTTTGAGGGAAAGGATGAGAGAGAGAGAGAGAGAGAGTTTAGGTGAAGTAATGGGAAAATTTAATTATTAATGGTACATATATAACAATAATTGGGCAGGAAATATTTAATTTTTTTACACCGGTGCACGTATAGTAGAATTTTGTTTTGTTTTAAATAAAATAGGTTATCTGAATCAATATTTTAAACTTTTTGACCTTATTTTTTTTTCAAATTTTCATTAGACCTCGACTGTGTTGCGTTGAAAATCATCAGTACCATCTACCTTATACCTACCTATACCTGCAGTGTTTTCTTCGCACCCCATTTGTATTGTTTACTGGTGTTCACGACGGCAGGTATATACTGTATATCCGAGTATCCGACAATGAACCGTCACGGCCTTGTGCCACAATAAACACACACGTAATGTGTACACGGAAAAGTAAAACAGAAAAAATATAAAAAGGAATTGTGTTGTTCGTGATCGTTACGGTGTCAGACCGTATTCGGGGGTAAATTATCCAATATCTGGTGGAGGGCGGTGGAGGTAAGGTTTCCGACACAATGAGGCCTGCCTTGTGGAAAAAAAAAGTAAATAAAATCGAGGCCGTACCACCTTTTTCTAAGGATTGATTCGAATCCCAAAGTCATATTAAATTTACGACGATGACGATTATCGCCGGGGTAGCGAAAATTCATTTTAATATTTCAAACGCTTATTAACTATTGAGGAGTGAAGACATATTATGTCGGACAAAAACAATTATCCACAATATCTGAGTGCAACGAGTACCACCTAATGTAATTATTTAAAAACGCCAAACGTACATTCTAAGGTACTATCGAACGATGAACGATGTGATGATGTTTAATGGATTATAATTCATTACGACGCCACGTTCGCAGGAAATCGTTCGAATATGTTATTTTGGAGATTGCAACCCGTTTGAACCGCATTTAAATAAAAATATTTTTAATCACATTGAAAGCGTTCATGATCGATCGATCGTATGTCATAACAATAACTATACTAATACACTTATGGAAAGTGACGAGTAATTATAAAAATATAATATCCAAACATCTGTGCGTGGATATACTATACCTACTCATACGATAAAATATAATATACATATTATAAATAATTTGATACTTTAAAAATTTCAAATTAATTAATGTGATTAACCACCCATGACATAATTAGAAATATGCCTAATATTATATTTAATAATAATAACTTGAATTATGTACTCATTTTGTACTTACGTCGCGCATTGTACGTTCAACTATAAATTTAAAAAAAAAACCTCTTCGATAATATAATAATTTAGTTTGGATTATAGAAACGTTGGAAACTTTGTGTATATAATACGGATGATGACGGTTTTTACTATTTGTTTTTTTTAACAATTTTACTCGGAAGTTACGGTTGTCGTAAGTGCTCGTAACGAGTAGGTGGTTCGAATTAAATTTTGAAACATATATATATTATAATAAATGGTAACGTTTTAACGGTCTAGCTGAATATCTATATACCTAGTGGTACACATAAAACGACTTGGGGAACGGGACACTATTATTATACACCTTCGAGGAGGACATTTCACGCACAGTAAACGCCGCCGGTAAGTTTCGTATTAACCTCAAATATAACGCGCGAGCCCGCACAAACTTTGCCAATTTCCCAAGTTCGCATATACAGCACGCACAATTTTATTGGCTGTTCCTATTACGCCGGTGGTCGCACTCGCGTCTTAAACTTGTGGACACTTTCATAACAACGGCAACAATACTTTATTTTATTATTATTATTATTAATATATTTTTTTTTCAAACACAAAGAATAGAATGGCCCGTCGGCGGGGTAAAAACGAAATGGTTCTGAAAATAGCAAACTGCATCCACGCCACCGCCGACCAGGAATTTCGAAACACACTTCAAACACTAATAATGATGAGCGCGAGAGCTCAGCGACTCAAGTAGGACGATTTTTCAGTAGTTCCTTTCGGATTTTCTCAATATTGTTTTACCCACTTTTGAAGTTTCGCGCAATGCCGCGCTTTGCCCAATATCAATTAAAAGTAATTTAGTTTGTTTATAGTCTTCAAACGCGTAATGAGTAAAAGGTAGTTTTCGATGTCGAAGAGTATTATGATGTCTATAAGCGCAAACAAAATTTGTTCCCAATATAAAAAAAAGGCATAAAACTAATATTAAAATGGAAGGATTTAAAATACCCGTGTTCGTCGTTAAATATTTACCGATGACCGAAAGTCGTTTAAAGTTTTAAACAAACTTGTTGAACAACTTTATACACTGCTGGTTTTTGTATAGCATTACTATTCTCAATTAACATCGTACGCTTTTAAAAGGGTGTGTAATATTCAAGACAGAAATATGTAATATTAATAGTAGGTAGGATACGTAATATAAGACGCGTAGTTTTAATTTGCAATTTGTATGTATCATTAAAATATTACTGAGTTAGAAAAAAAATATCTTAATATATTCTAAACATACAAAAATAACCGAAACTACTTACTATAAATTATTTAAAGAAAATGGTGGATTAAAACTGTAGCTATTTTCATTATCTCTTTAAGGCGTTATATCTCCTTTATATGGGGTTCAAATTTGAGATTCTGCACAATCGTTACCGATTCGTATTATCGATCACTTTTTAAATGATATCTTCTGAAAGTGCATAGATGTTTCAAACTATCTTAAAATTGAAACGGCCAGACAATAAACGTTGAAAACATTTTACATAAAAACACACTAGTACAAATCCGTAAATATCACAAAATATATCATCAGATACACAGTCCACCATAAATATTTACCTATCTGCAGACTAAAACGATAGCTGAGCTAAAAAAATCACAAATATAAAAAATATATTATGCATATAACTATTTCTGTGTTTTTGTTTAAAAATAAGAGAGAGAAAAATGTTGGGTTCTATCGTTGGATAGTCTCCTCTTTTGTACAATAATATCATTGTTCTTTTTTTTGTATAATATCTATTATTATTAAATACCTATTTATTTTTTTTGCCGATTGCGTCCTGAAGAGCAGATTGCAAGTACTCTTCAATAAATAATAGAAAAATTACTAAATAGTATATATTATTAATAATATTATTACCTTCAAACGTGGACGTTATATTATTTTCGGGTGAGTTAAACCAAGCATACGCGATTAAATTGATGGACGTGAGTGCGTAACAAATCAGCAAAGAAAATCCGTAGAAAAATGTCGTAATAAATTAATCACGAATAGGGTCTGCATTATACGATAATATATATGAACCGTTTTTCTCATATTGTTATTGATTTATATTTACCAGATGCCGTTCTGCTTGAAAATCGAATGCGTATACGTATATATACGTGTGTATTCTACGGGTTTGTCGGCGGCCATCTGGATTAACTTCTACGCACATCGAAAGATCGGAATACATCCGCCGCCGTCATTGCGGGATTACGTTCGACTAACAAGACACAAGCGCCCCTCCCCCCCCCCCCTCGACCGAGCCATCAAACCATTATTATTACATCGAAAACCCCATTATTGTTTTTGATAGTTGGTTGAATCAAGGGTATAGTATGCTCTCTGTCATCGATGTCCGTGGCGCGAGGGCAGAGATGTGTTTATAATTATTATTTTGCATAACAGTGATACGGATAACAACATTGTTCTGTTTTTGACGGCCGTGGTATTCTGCGGTGACTTTATTTTGAATATTTATATATACATATATAATATGTATATACATGGACCTCCTTTATGCACATAATATATAATATCATATACTATTTTTTGTTTTTGTTTTTTTTTTTTCAAAATAAAAGAGTTTCGTCAAATGGACTGAACGGTATATTATTATTATGTGCCGACTCCACTTCTTGTCTATACCATCGGTCCGCGGTGGCAGCCACCTCGTACACCTCTCCTGTCAACAGTATTGCCCTCCCTGTATCGCGATTCTATTTAACCTCCGGAGGGCGTCTGGGTATTGTTCGGGGTCCAAATTAAAATGCTAATTGCTTTTGACGGCCAGTGCCAATGTTGGGTATATCTTCTCTAGTAGATTTAATTCAATCACCGCCCGGGCACGTCGGAGTAGTTGGAGCGGGAGGGCACCGCGATCGGGGTCGTTTGGCGGCCCGAGAGTTAAGAATTTAATAAACCGCAAGAACCCGGGTTCGGAATTGGATTATTGACTTCCGTCCGAGCTTAACGGTAATGGATTACGCATTAAGAGCTATTTTACAAATTAAATTCGATGCGAAAACGGCACCAAACCAAAGTCCTACACGCGTCTGGTGCGTTACACGGCGACCGAGGTTTAGTCGACTTTAATTTACGTATACACGTGCACGCATGCATCTATATTATTTCTAGCACTGTTGATTTTACCCTGTAGCCGCCGCTATAACATTAGTTTGTTGTTGTTGTTTTTTTTTTTTAATCCGGATTTTCGCATTCAGAAAACTTCTTTTGTCCAACCTATACAGGGATATTTATTACTCTTTGTCTCTGGGCATGGATATTACGCTCACATATATACATTATACACTCGCGCACACGCACGCGCGAACACATACACACACACACATCAGTGCGGCACACACATGCAAGAGAAATAATTCCGTCTTTTCTTTCGTTCCCTATTGTTATTGTAAACATATTGCTCCCTCCTGTCATCCTCCACGTAAAAAAGAACAAAGCTTAAAGTCTCCACCTAACGCGCGTGTATACCTGTTTTGCGTAAAATACGGTGCAGATCTCTTTCGTCTAACACCCAGTATTTTATTATTATTTTTAAACGATAACAAAAAAATAAAAATAAAATAAAAACCATAATAAAATAAAAGAACAGTTCACTTTTGTTACATTACCTCAGATTTTCCTTTAGACGTGCAGCTCATAATGTTTGATGGTTCCAGATTTATGGAATCCTGCTGAAACAAAACAAAAATTATCCCTTTAATAAAGTGTAATCTATGTCAAAAGCAATAAAAGACAAATAGTGTTGTATACTATGTATCGTGTGTGCGTAGGTACCTACTATACGCAATAAAACACGTAGATATTAGGTGCATTTCGTTTTGTTTTTTATTTATTCGTGAAATAGTATTGTAACAGTTATGCCATCGTTTCACGTTTGTTATTAAACCGTTAGCTCCGATAGTAAAATTCAACTCCAAAATGGTTTTTAAGCACTTAAGATTACTACTGAATTTAAACTACGTTTGTTTGTGAACGATTCTACTGTACCTATTTCACATTATTTGTCGTATTTTTTAATAATAAATATAATATTTTATACCTGAAATTCAAAAACGATATCTTCAAAATGTTTTCTATCTTTTGATATGCATTATAAATTAAATAGATATTAGTAATCTAAATGTATTTATTGCAGGTTTTATCATTTAAACCCCGAAAAATATAGATGATCTAGAAATATAATTAATTTCAAGACCTTGTTTTCAACTTTAGTAAAGGTAACGTTCTAATCATTTGGCCACGGTGTTTAATGAGTTATACGTTTGTATATCATACTCGTATCTCCGCTTGGAATGTAGCGTATTACGTATGATTAATAAAGTAATGCAATTTTCCACACCTAATATAATATAGGTATATAGGTATACCGACGTTTCAGGATTGGCGTATAACCCGGAAGGATTTCCGTATTTTATTCTTAATCTTTTAAGGCACCAAAAGTATATGCTAGGCAGTGAATAGACTTTAAAATAAACGTGGTTTCCACATCGAAGATGGATCTGCTTCAACACTTTCGATAATCCGCAGGTAAATCTCTTTTTCAATTTAGCTACCATTTCGTTCGGATTTTTTTTTCCTATCACCGGCTACAAAATGGAGACAACCTGAGAGGAAGAAGGAATGTGAACAAAAAATAAAAAGGGTCGCATTAATAGCTTCCAAATGCCCACTTGTTCTTATCCGTCCTCGCCGCTAATCTCTCGCTGTCCTTACATGCATTTCCCTACTCTTTTACTTCCCTAGGCCGTTTCGATCGATCGGGGGCTTGATTTCCCGCAGGGTTTCCGCACATTTGTGTACGTTTTTGCCTTTTTATCTTTTCGCGTTCCGTCTGTGATTTTTAAAAGCTGTTTTCTCAAACACCCGACTGTTGGCCCAGGACGGGGGGCCCAGCTTGCAAGACAAATTGGACGGCGTTTTATGTCTGAAAACCCTTTTGCTGCAATATTTACCAGTCGCCAACGAAAGGCAGTACGCAATATTGTTTTCACTGTTGTATTTTTTCAACCATCTCCTCTCCAGACACCATATTTACTTATTATTATATGTATATATTTTTTTCATAGTCGCATAACGCCACACTTGAATTGGATTGATATAGTTCCAGATAGAAAAGAAATTTGAATATTTTAAATTTGAATAGGCTCACTCAATTGCATATATGCACTGTAAGGTTTTATTTTTTTATTCATTTGACATAGAACATTTCTTTTATTATTTTTTTTACGCATATACTCTAAAAAATATTATTACCAATATTTTGCGGAGGAATTTTTACATGAGTAAATTTTCTCATCATACTATTCCTTTCGACTAAACCCGCGATGCAAATCGTGCATCATCTTTGTACACGTAAACTGATATTATATACACCGTATATAGTAAACGAGTGAATACAAAATCACATGCATCATTTCTACGATATAAGAAATGCATTTTTATTAAAAATCGCAGTAACATTTACTCACGTCTTCGGCGAACCGTTACATGTTATTATTTTTTTGTTCACTGCAACGATAAGACGATGTACCTACAGCAATATTTTTTTTAAGACGCCATTGGATGAATCGGAAAAAATATCGACAAGTGCGTAAACTATATTAAATCATACCATTTTTTAATTTATTTAGGTACTTTATTTTGAGCTTCTTATTTGTTTTCATTTTGAACAACATTTTTTTAGTATACCTACAACTGGAAATAATGTTTATCATATTATTATCGTTCGGCACGTCCAAAGTCCCGCCGGCGTAATGCAACTTACGTTTTTCCGGTCAGAAGCATCTGATTAAATTCATTCGTTGGCAGTGGCGGCGGCGGAGGCTATGGGTGTAATCAAGTTGGTTAAATAAATATTTGGGTTGAAAAGGGTATAAAATACTGTTGGTGCATATATACGCGATCGCACGCGCACACACTCACACAAACAATTCATGTCGACGAGACGGGCAAACAATAACCTATAATAACACATTCATACACACATATATATATATATATGCATGTATATTGTACATTATATGTATATATAGTTTATATGTATGTATGCATGTATAGAAAAAAAAAGAAAAAATACAAGAGAGACCTGTTTGTCGATTGGCATGGCAACCGGGTGATAAGGAAGGATTATGTTTACTTAGATCCGGGGTCGTAGTATTAGTTCCCAGCGAAAAACGTCAGAAAACATATGATAGATTCGGGTTGAACATATTATTATTATATTACCTGAGCGCGTTTACGAATACCGGGCACGTCGAATTGTTCGGAATTACATTTTTACACATCCGAAATGATGAATTCGCGAGATTGAAATGAAATCTACGAGTACCCGCTCTCAAAACAGCATTAAGAAGAGTGTGATCGTCCATTTTTTCCCTTCATATTTTTATCGAAATCGAGAAACGTCTGGTCGGGAAAAGAATTCCAGAAATCTAGGTATAGCTCCTGCAGTAGGTATTTCCACCATCGGCTGTTGTAGTTGTGGTTCGATTATTATCGCGGTTACAATATTATAATTCGAATAATTACGCGCTTTAAACACGTGCACCGGCGCGGCGTTATATACCTTAATCAAATTTTATTAAATCTAATTATTGCATTTCGCGGGGTACATAATGAATTCACGACGGAATATCGGGCTGAAATGTTCGACAAACTTAGCGCGCCAACGTAAACGCGACGGCAGGCAATGTGTCAGGAATGTCAAGTACGCACACAATTTACGACCGAATTAATTGTTTGGCCGTGTGTGTAAGTACGGCAGAGCCAGCGCACGTTATGACAACAATTCGGCCTTATGTGTGCGCTCACTGCAGCGTGCCAGCGAGTTATTATCATAAATGTTAATAAAATACAAGTTATAAACGACGCAGCCAACTGTAAAACATTATTGCTATGATGGATTTTGATCAAATCAAATTCAAAACCAAAATGCGAGAGACGTTTCGCGGAAACATTATCGAGACTTTTGCCGATTTCATTAATAAGTTTCGGGCGGAATTGGAGTCAAAACGTACGGCGTGTGATTTATATTAAAGGTTGCAAATAACGCGTACGCCACAAATTAGTTAGTATTTTTAAGTCTCTAAAATTGTGACATCGGAACCGCAACTTTGTTGATACTCTGTCTTATTGATTTGGAAAACGAAAGTTATTGGGAAAAGCCAAATTGAACTCTTCAATATCAATAGCGTAATTTTTGAACGGATTGCGTATTACGTAACGTATACGATTTTTAAAATTTATAATTATATATTATGTTCTAAAACTCCTGTACAAAGCGAAACCAACGCAGTCACAACAATAATGATAGTATATAATACGCAACTGAATAATAATTTATTTTCATGCTCGTATGATGTGTGCGGGACATACGGGATGATATTAAATACAATTCACACCGTTGTGCGGCACACGTCATGTCACGATGTATTGTGTTAGTCACAGTTGGTAAACTGACTTCCAATGTGTATTCCTTCTGCTGTTTTCCCCTTTTTCACGAGACCATTGATGCATGTCTGCGGGGGTGTGACGATAATATGTAACCCGCTTTGTCGGCGAACGGGGGCGAAAGTTACAGGATTTGACTCGACGCATATAGAGACACGGCAGAAAGAAACAACTGAATATTCTTCTTCAATTCATCCGTCAGGAAATTGGAAAACACAATACGAATAGAGCAATAAAACAGCTCCGCTGCCAATTCCCAAATGGAATAATATTATATTATATCGTATATATATATATACCATTACCAGTCCAAGTGCACAGAAGCAGCATCGTGCACGACGTATCCATATTATATATTATATATATATATATAAGGCGCTGCTCTGACGGCATGACAAAACCGCTCTAATAATAACCAATTTTCCGTGACGTTTCCGAGGGAATTTCGGTTAGATGAGAATTTATAACGATTTTGATAAAATTAAGACATTAACGTCGCGGTTTGATACGATTACAAGTTTTCACTTCCAGTCGTCGCAACGTGTTATCCTATTAAAATTCAAGACCGTAACACAAAAGTTTCGACGGTTAACACTTTGGTCCCCCAGACACTTACGCACCGAGTTAACTCTATATTATAACGCTATTATCGAAACTACATTAGTTATTTTTTTAACACTTTTTGTCATAACATTTAAGCTGGGGACGAACAACCCGTATTACTCCCATGTTAAAAGAGAGGAAAGTAGGTAGGTAATCGGTCTGCAGTACCTACAACAGTAGGAGTCAAGTGTCCTTCGTAGGCTCTGCTGTAATAGATGTATTATATGACAATTCATTGATAAAATACACGATAAAACAACGGAGGATGGTCTGATATGTGGGTATCCAAGGTTACCAATCAATTATTTTAATAATAATATTATTAACATTTTAACAAAAATGCTTATTTTATTTTTTAGTTTTACTCTGATATTTTTTTTTGTAAATTACCTACGGAAAATTTTAAATTTCGACCTCTCTAAAATACCAACTAGATCAAATAAAAAAAAGTAATTCAATTAAACCCGACTAAATACTAACACACGTACGGCATGATAACTAAATGATAATAATATAATATACTCCACGAAAGGTTATTATATTATGATATTTAGATAAACGTTTTGCCACAATGCATAAAACAGTAGTTCACGTATACATTTACAAATACTAAACAGTA